TCTAAACTCGTTGTTACTCTACATAAAGTTATTGGCTGCCCAGATTTCTTTACCAGTGACTTACCCACACATAGTCTTTGCCTCTCAGGCCTCCCATCCTTTTTCATATTGAAATGTATGAGTTACAGACTTCTTGTGGTGGTTATGCTGAAGCAGGAGGATTGCTGTGTCATAGAGGCCCGCCTGGACTAGATGATGAGTTCACGACAGTTTGGACCACATAGCGAGAACTTGTCTCAATAAAAAAAAAAGTTCTTCCAGTCAGGTGTAGCGGTGCATGCCTAAAATCCCAGCACTCTGGGCAACTGAGGCAGATGAATCACTCCACCTGGGCAACTTAGTAACTTAGTGAGACTCTATCTGAAAATGAAAATTAAAAAGGCCTGGATCTGTAGCTTAGTGGGAAGGGCCTGGATTCAAGTCCTAGAGCAACCATAACCCCATCTCTCTCCCTAATTATTTTTGTTTATATTTCTATTTTTCCAGCATGTGGCTGATCCCATCACATTGTCCATGGGATCTCTCATCTTATGTTTCGCCATGTTATAGTATCAAATTATCAACATTTTAGATTATCATTTTCTTCATTACTTGGCATGCCGTAGGCTTCCCAGGTTTAAGAATATGGCCCGTTGGATTATTTGGACCAACTCTTTTGCAGAACAGAAATAAAATACTTGATAAAATATAGAAACCATCTTGTTAAAATGAATGAGGCACTGATAAGATAAAAAAAAAGCTCTACTGTTCTCAACTCTGGGATGGAGCTGGGCTGAGGCCCGGGCTGCAGATCAGTGGAAAGCATAACAGTAAATATAATAAAGTCCAAGAGAAATAAGAAGAGATTCAGAGTATTTGCTGCACCTGGTGAACTTGATCTTGAATTTGAAAACACAGAACTGGAAATCGCTCTGGTATTGAGGAGGCTGAGGCAGGAAGGTAGCCAGTTTGAAGCCATCTTGGGAACATAACTAGCTCAAGGCCAGCTCTGGGCTACCTAGAGAGACGTTGTATTTGCCACATAAGCTTTAGATTCATCACTTTCTCAATGGCTACACTGATTTGTCTACTTGTCTCTATTATGCTTTTTTGGTTTTAAGGAGGCAAGATTTGTTTCCACTCATGTTTGTAGAGATTTCTGTCCATGTTTGACTGGTTTTTGACGCTGCTGTTTGTTTTTATGTAGTCTAGACTGGCCTTGAATTCACTACGTAGCCCAGGCATTGAAATGCCAGTTCTCCTTCCTCAGCCTCCCAAGTGCTTGGATTACCGGTGTCCACCAGCGTGCCCGTTTGTCCCTATCCTTGATGGCAGAGGTGTTTGTCCCTAGGCTAGGGGCTTTGGACAGGGCAGTCATCCTGAAGGCTTCAGAGAAGTGGCGGTAATGCTTTTCCTTAGTTAAATGCCAGATGGGAGCGGGAATGGGGTGGGCCTGCTTTTCCATTGCAGGTGCTTTTGCGGCCAGGTGGGTTTTAGACAAAATTTCACCTGTTAACTTCCCAACCTATTTGAAGGCTGCTGCCAAAGCACCCACGTCTACTCCAGCAGATACAATCAGCAAGGTTCCCAGCAGCACTGTTCCTAACATAAACACCCACACATCCATCCGCAGGACAGCAGATCCGTTACACTGTGGCTTAGTGATAAAACATGAAACAGGATATGAATGATAAAGTGAGAACGTCTAATTATATCTAATCTCACATGGTTCCAGAAAATGAGGAGAATGAGAAGGAAGCAAGCAGCATGGTGTCACACGCCTGTAATCCCTGCTCTTGAGATGCTGAGTTCAAGCCCGGGCTACGCAGCTGTCTCACAAAATAAAGAATGAAGCAATGTCAGTGTTTGTAGAATCATTGGCAGAGAATTTTGTAGAGCTGATAAAAGACAACAAACCAAAAACTCATTTAATAAATCCTAATCAGGATAAATAAATATAAGTGGATACTTAGAATACAGTGCAATTGGCAAGCACCGTGTTTGGCCCCTGCAACAGGAAAATGACTAACACGTGGACTACTGAGAGCCTACTTGAAAAAAAGTCAAAAATTGAAAATGTAATCAATCAAAAAAAAAGATAGAAAAAGTTAGACGACTGAAAACAGTGGAATCCAGGAAGATAGCAATAATGTCATAAATATGGACAAAGGGCAGGGTGTGGTAGGGTACACCTGTGATCCCAGAACTTAGAAGGCGGAGGCAGGAGGGTTGCTGTGAGTTTGAGGCCAGCCTGGTGAATTCAAGGCCAGTCTGAATTACATAGTAAGATCTTGTCTCAAAATACATATATTATATATATATAGAGAGAGGAGGGGACTGGAGATTTAACTCAGCGGCACAGCACCTGCCTGGCAAGCACATGGTTGCAAGTTTGATCCCCAGTACCAAATAAAAAACAAACACAAAAAAGCAAACAATATATATATATGTAGAGAGAGAGAGAGAGAGAGAGAGAGAGAGAGAGAGAGGAGAGAGAGAGAGGGAGAGAGAGAAACAAAAGAATACTTTTTTGGCAGTACTAGGGATTGAGCCCAGGGCTTCCCCTGGGCCATCCCGTTCCCAGCACTGAGCTATTTCCCTCCCCTTTTCCAGTCTCAATAAATTGCTTAGGGTAGACTGACACTTGGGATCCTCCTGTCTCATCTCCAGAGCAGCTGGAATTCCAGGTGTGTGCCACTGTATTCTGCTGTATTCTGTCCTTTTTGAAAAATTTTTTGCTATGTATTCTTATTTATCTGATCATATATTTTCTAATTCTGCCTGTTTTAAATGTTATAGCTTAATAACTTCTGATATCTGTAGAGAAAAATTCCCCTTATCTTTCTTCTTCAAAATTGCTTTGGCTAATCTTGATTCTTTATTCTTCCATATGAACTTAAAATTAGTTTGGTAATTTCCTAAGGAAATTATTTTTACTGAAATTGCTTTAATTTTGTATATCAGTTTGGGGATGGTTATATTTAATATATTTTAAATATATTGAATTTTCCTATCTATGAACAAATTCTCGGTCTTCCTTTAACTCTTTTATGTCTTCTATAAAGTTTTATCATTTTCTCTGTAAAATATGTCATCTTAGATTTGGTACATGTTTATCATTAATTTGCTGCTATTATGAATGAGATTTTTTTTTATTAACTGATTATTGCTGGTGTACATGAAAAGTAGTGATTATTGTATGATCTCTTGAATCCAGAAATTTTGGTAAAACCTCTTTATTTTAAAATAGTTTATATGGGTGTAGTAGTACCTATATATTATTATAGTATTATAAAGTACTTATATATTATTATAGTATTATAGTATGGTACCTACATATTATTATAGTATGACAGTATTACAATGCTATAATCCCAGCATTTTGGACCTATATATTATTATAGTATTATCGTATTATAATGCTATAATCCCAGCATTTTGGAAGGCTGAAGGAGGAGGATTTTAAATTGGAGCCCTGGGCATTTTAGGGATTTAGTGAGTTGCTATCTCCAAATATCTAAAGGTTTGGGGATGTAGCTTAGTATTAAAGGCCCTGGTTTAAATCTCCAGTACCACCACCCCACCCCCACACATTCACAAACACACAAAGTTATTTTGTATATTTTCTGGAGTTGATAATGTGACCTGAGGTTTGCAATCATTGTATTTCTTCCTTCCCAGTCTTTATGCCACTATTTTGTACTTTTCTTCTTGCATTAGCTTGATCCTGAATTATGGTTTAATAGCAGTTATGATAATAGGCAACTTTTCCTCCCAATTTTAGAAACTCTTTTTTTTCAGGCAGGCTGTCAATATGTAGTTTAAGCTGAACTTCAGTTCTATTATACAGTCCAGGGTGGCCTTGAACTCATAGTGATCTTCTTGTCTCAGTCTCCTGAGTACTGTGATTATAAGCACACATCAATTTTAAAGCAAACGATTTTGAAGTTAAAATGCTAAATGTATATAATATTTGCGGTAGGTTTTTTTTTAATTTGCAACATAAGCTTTATTTGATTAAACCTATGAAACTTGATTATGTTCCTAATTAGCTAGGAGAGGATTTTTACATGCCTTTATAAAAAAATAATAGAGTCAGCTGTGGTGGGGTATATCTGTAGTCCCACAGTCATGAGGCTGAGGCAGAATCATTGCAGTAAGCACAAGGTCATGTATCCAGACCTTGTCTCAAAATAAAATAAAATAAGCAAAGTAAAAGTAATAAAGATATTTAGTCTCGTGCTTGTTTTATCTTTTAAAACAGGGTCTTGTTCTATAGCCCAGACTGGTCTCCATCTCACAACAATCCTCCTGCCTCAGTCTCCTGACTGCTAGATTATAGGTGTTAGCCACCACATAAGGCTCTGAGATTCGCTCTGTTCTAACATTAGAAGTGACCCTGGGGGTAATTTTAAATCAGTTCCAGAGGGGTCAGTCCATGGCCAGCAGCTCTGAGAAGGCAGAGGATCATGGCAGAAGAGGGAGGTGAAGGAGAGAGGCTGCTGGCTGCCAGGAAGCAGAGATGAAAGGGTCAGGGACAAGATATGGTCCCCAAGGTCACATCCTCCTAATCTGGCCCTGCATCTAGGCTCCTGCTAAGTTTCTATCTCTTCCCAATAATACCATCAAATTATTATCCATGGGTGATTAATTCACCAATGACACCTGAGCTATCATGATCCAATCACCTTCAGAAAGGTGACCTTGGAACAGAGAAAACTTCTGGGGACATTTTAGATGTAAACCAATACATGCCTCAAAACCTCTAAGTGACTCCTGACTTTTTTTTTAAGTGACTCTTTGAAAGGTACTTGGCAGGACTTGAAATCCCTGCCTATAAGGAGGATGACATCTAACCACTGTCCTTCCTGCACGTCCTCTGGGGGAGACCAGTCCTGACATCAGTGTTGTTTTCCATGTCCTGTCTGTCAGTTCCACTTTCTTAAATGGAAAGCATTAACATGACTGAAAAACCACAGGAACAGTCATAAGTGGGTTCTTCTTTTTTATTTTTTTTTCCACATCAGACGGACAATGTGTTGATGTCGTAACAAGGCTTGAGGGAGGCACATCTCATGCATACGACATGAACACACAATCATCACGCTCATGAACCAAAGGATCAGATAAGTGGGTTCTTGCTACTGAACAAAACCTTTTTTAAAAAAATTCTTTCCTGAATGATACAGTTTATTCTTTGGTAAGACTCTACAGATAGCGGACCTATTCCAACGGACACTTCCTGAGAACTTCCTGTGTTTAGAGTCATCTGGCAGCAGAGTCCTCCCCTTGAAGGACTTCCCTGGAGTCATTCAGAAGGAGAACCAGCGGCACACACCTATAGTTCCAGCGCTTGGGGAGGCCGAGGCAGGAGGAGTACAAATTCAAGCCCAGCTCAGTGACTCAATGAGACCTTGTCTCAAAATAAAAAATGGGTTGTGAGTATAGTTCAGCGTAAAAGCTTTGGGTGGCTCAAATCCTGGTATCACTTCCAGACACAGCATGAGAATCAACTTCTGCTTCTCCTTCCCTTCTATAACCCCCTCCCCTGGGTGGAGGAGGCTGGCTGTGGGGTGAGAACCTGTTATGCTCGGCTCTTCCACTGTCTCCATCAGGGGCTTCTGGTGGGCAGAGAGCTGGTCTGCTCAATCCTGTTTGCCTTCCTTACCTTCCTCTCCCAACAACTACTCAAAATTTGATCCAGTACTAAATCTCGGTGAATGCATAATGTTTTATTTGGGAATAAAACAAACTGTCCTACTTAGAGCAGTGGTCTCCTGCCTGGGCAGAATCATTTGGCCACAACTCAGACCCAGTGAAACTCTAGTGGTGGGAATGCAAGAGTGCATGGTTTTTGGGGGGCAAGGGGCAGTGCTTGGGATTGTACTCAGAACCTCACACACGCTAGGTAAGTGCTCTACCACCAGCCACATCCCTGTGTTATTGCAGCTGGTTATGCTGCAATTTATGGAGCAGCATAACCAGCTCCACCTAATTTATGGAAGGATCCTGTGTGTAGACAGAATGTACCTTTAGGATTGGTCTTTAGTTATTTTTTCCTTTCACTTGTATCCTTGTTAGGGGAAGCAGACAATGACCCCGTGATAGGTGGAGTCAAGTGGGCTGGATCCAGGCAAGAGATTTCTGAATACTTCCCAAGTGATCATTAAATGCAACCAAGATCCAGAAACACTTAACTAGAGGGTATCTGACATGTGTAAGGGGGTTAAATGATTAATTTAACAAGCGATTGGTATAGGAAAAATACATAATTGTATATATGTAAATATATGAGTCTTTGGAGTGTGATGAAGTGGGTTTTTGTTTTGTTTTTCTTTCTCAGATAGGATCTTTTTATATAGCTCAGCCTGGCCTCAAACTTGTATCACTCCTCCTGCCTCAGCCTCCCAAGTGCTAGGATACAGCCATGTGCCACCAAAAAACAATTTTTTTGGGGGTCTTTTTGAGAAAAGGTTTCACTCTGCAGTTCAGGCTGGTCTTGATGTTACTTTGTAGCACAAAGTGGCCTCAAACTCATTGTTCCTCCTGCCTCAATTTGGGATTACTGGCATGCATCACCACTTGTCCAGCCTTTGTTTGTTTTTTTGGAGACAGGATCTTGCCACATAGTTTAGGCTGGCCTTGAACTTACTATGTAGTCCAAGCTGGCTTCAAATTAATTCATGGCAATGCTTCTGTCTTAGCCTCCTAAATGCTAGGATTACAGGCTTGCACCACCATGCCCAGTTTTTAAAAAAATCTTGTAATCTAGTGAGAGACAGAAATATATGCCAAATAACAGCAGGAAGTCAGCAGATTATATATGTGTGTGTTGGGGGGGGTGTAGAGTCAGGGAAAGTGCTGAGTACAAAATTTGATAGTAACAGCTGAAAGGAAGCCCAGGGTGGTGGAAGGAAGCGGCCATCTGAGGCGGGAGGAGGGCCACAGGATCCTACAGTGGCCACTGTGACTTGGAAAGCTGTTCTGCGTCATCTGCAGAAGACCATCAGTACTTGTTTGGTTACTAAGAAGCACATCATTAGTGGTATCTACTGGCACAGATGGTGGGTGTTGGGAAGCTGGGGCAGGGAGGTATATATAGGGTGGGGAAAGCAGTAAAGACCAACAGGTCAAACTTAAAATAGATCTACTCTGCTAAATATATTTAATTTTCTATCAAACTAACACTATCTTTAGAACACTTATGATTGGAAAAGTAATTCTACTCAAACATTTGAGCCTGTTCTGGAGAGCAGATATTCTAGATACTGGGATGTAAAGAAACATAAGTGTCTTACTTTTCTTGTTACTGGGCCAAAATACTCAAGACCCAAAGTTAAAAGGAGAAAAGTTTTATTTAGTTCACTATTTGTAGAGGTTTCAGTCCATAGTTGGCTGGCTATAAGGAGGGGTGGCAGATGGCAGAGGGGCAACAGCTTATGGTGGCAGAAGACAGAAAAAACAGAGTGAACACAAATTTCTTTCTGTCCCCTTTTGTCTTATCCAGACTGCTGGGTTAAAGGTGGTGCTAACTGAATCAGAGGCATCCTTATTCCAAACATTGTATTAGGAATCAATCAAAAAAGGCCTATGTAAAACTGCAAGAGGCTTTGGGGGGGCTGTTGGGGTGAAGGGGGGCTGAAGAGGGTGGGCATCCAGACCTAAACCATAACAACAAGTTATTATTTTTTTTTGTCTTTTTCTTTTTTATCGGTACCAGGGATCGACGTCATGACTGCCTGCTTGCAAGGCAGGCGCTTATGCCGCTGAGCTAAATCCCCAGCCCCACAACAAGTTATTATAATAACAGCATATCAATTAAAATAAGGGCCAGCTCCATAGTAAAAACTAGCGGGGAGGCTGAGACCTTTCCTGGAACCCTGATCTGTCAGGGCTCTCAGTTAACCACCTCCAGGACGCGGCTTAGCCTCTGCTACAGACGTGAGACCTTCACATTGGAAACTAGGGGTGGTGGTCTATGCCTATCCCAATACTTGGGAGGTTGAGATAGAATGATTGTGGGAAGTTCAATACCAGCTTGGCCTACATAGTGAGTTCAAGGCCATCCTGGACTACATAGCGAGACCCTGTCTCAAAGAACAAAAATCCTCCCTTTGGTGGATCCTATGAATCTCTCCAGCTTTCTTCTGCCTCTATTGTTTGTCCTGGTTAGAGGGACATTCTTAGTTGTTGGATGCCTCCCTTCAGTCCCCATCCAACCAGCAGCTACTCAGCCACCTTGCCACACCCTGGCCTTCCATGCAGCACGGCCTCTTTCATTTGGGGATGCTTTGGACAAGCGCTCCCCGGAGGCCAGCTGTCCTAACGGCCAGGAACGGTCCCAGAGCGTCTGCACTTCCTCACCCTCGGCCATGGGGCGGGTGGCCTCCAAAAGACCTGAGGACTGAGGAGTGCACCGAGAGGGTGGTGAGCGACACTGAGAGACCAAGAACGCCGAAGGCTGCGAGTGGCGTGGCGCGGTGTGAGCGCTGAGGGCACAGCAGGGCAGGGCAGGGCAGGGCAGGGTGGGTAAGCGAGAGCAGTAACCGGCGAGCGGGACGGGCGGCGAGGGAGTGGCTGAGTGATCGGGTGATTGAGAGCGTGCCGGTGGACGTGGGCGAGCGGCCCGCGGGAACTTCCAGCGCTCCGGAGCGAAGCACGGGGTGCAGAGGCAGGGCCGAGACTGCAGAGGCAGGGCCGAGAACTCAGGCTGCGCGGGGCCACGTGGCTGGGGCAGGCCTGAAGCCCGGGGAGTGGGCGGGGCTAAATGGAGTGTGGGCGTGACGAGGCAGGGTCTGGGCCAGCGCAGGGCAGCGTGAGTCGGCGAGGGGCGTGGCCATCCGCATATGAGCCCGAATAGGCGGGGTGTGGGCGTGACGACCAGGGAGTGGGTGTGGCTTGTGCGGTTGTGGGTGAGGCCGGCCGGCGGGCGCGGGAGGAAGTCACGTGGGCGCGCGGGTTCACATGACTGGTCGCGCGATGGACCCGCTGCCCGCCGTGGCAGTCGGGTCTGCAGCTGAGGCGGAGGCTGACGAGGAGGCGGATCCCCCGGCGACAGGTACGGCGGTGGAGGGTGCTGGCCCAGTCCTCGGCGCGCTGTCACGGCGCAGCCACTTGGGTCACTTCTCAGCCGAGCCCCGAGGCCACCTGTGCGGGTACACCTGGCGCACTCGATCCGGTACCGGCCCCTGTCCAGTCTCGCGAGCTGTGTCGCTTGGGTCCCTAGTTCCGAAGACAGCGACGCTCGCTGTTCTTAGCGCTCGGGTCTCTGTGTGGCCGGGGCAGGAGCTCGCGGAGACCCGCAGGTGCGCGCCGGCCTCCTCTCGGTGCCAGGCGGACGCCGTTCTCGGGGTGCGCTGCCCGGGCCCTCTCCGCGGTGGTCAAATAGGTGGCTGCCTGAGGCGAGAGGTTGAGGACCGAGTGAGTTTTGCTGGGTTGCGGTACTGGGTCTTCCCTGGGAGGAAAGGCGGGAGTGTGGCAGTGACCCTGGGCTTTCGCCACCTCTGTGGAGCTCCTAGTGTGTGCAGACCGGTCCTTCAAAGTGAATCTTTTTTTCCTGTCACTTGTGTCTGTGCAAAGGGAAGCATGTGACAGCCTTGTTGGGTAGAACATTGTGTTCAAGAGGTCGTGTGCCGGAACTCAGCGTGGGCCCACCTAAGCCAGAGCCCCAGGCTGGACTCTTTCCCCGAGTCGCTTGGAAGTGGAAGCTATAATGGGTTTTGAATGCTGGGACCGCCATAAAGAGTTTCATTCAAGACTCACCTAATGGCTGCCATAGGGTGTGATTTATGGAGAGTCCAGTGCTGTACAACCCCCAACCTCCATTCTCAAGCTGCCTTCCCCGTGGCTTTGCTTGGAATCCTTACCGGTTGTTGGCTTTCCTTGGAGGCTGGGGTGATTTTTATCAGGAGCGCTAATTTTATCTACAGCCAGGAGGCACACCACAACTCTGAGCTTCCAAAATCTCCGAGCATTCCTTACACTCTGTGAGTCTAAAAGTGGGGGTTCTAAACTTGTCATTTCATTCTTTTGGAAACTGGATGCCGAATTCTAGCAGGGAGATGAAATGGTAAAGCAAAACTTTTTACCTTAGGAAAACTAATCTGGGAGTGTGTGACTAGTTCAAAGTGGGCAGTGTAGGGGACTGTGTCTTTGGGGACTGTGGTTGGGTGGGCTTGGAGACAGCTTCCTATCAGAGCCCACAGAGAGGCCACAGCCTGCCACCTCCTTGGTTTTAGACCACTGAAACTTATTTTGGACTGTCTACATCTAGAACTGTGAGATGATATCGTTGTATTAAGCTACTAACTTTGTGGTAACTTGTTCCAGGAGCTATATCCCTGGCCTCCCTTTAACTTTCATTTATGCTATAATTTTTTGTTTGTTTTTGATAGAGGGCCTTGCTGTGTAGTTCAGTCTGGCCTTGAACTCACTGTGTAGCTCCGGGTAAGCATAAACCCACGTCAGTCCTTCTGCCACAGCTTCCCAAGTGCTGGGATCACAGGCAGACATGGACAAGATCTTCCTATGCAGCACGGACTGGCCTCCACGTCCCTAATGTAACCCAGGCTGGCCTAAAATTCATGCTCCTGTTAGGTGTGGAAGTGCGCCTGTAGTAACAGCACAGAATGCTGAGCTAAGGGCATTGCTGTGAGTTTGAGACCAGTTTGAATGACAGAGCAAGACCTTGTCTGAAAAAATCGAACCAGCCCAGGGTTTAGCTCAGCAGTGAAAGTGCTGCTTGGTAAACGTAAGGTTACGAGTTTGTGAGTTCAATCCCCAAAATAAATAAAATAAATAAATAAAAACCCAAAATAAAACAAATAAAACAAAAATCACAGAAATAACAGAAATAACAACAACCAAAAAACTTGTGTTCTGGTCAAGGTCTGAAATTACAGGCTTATGCCACCATACCTGGCTGGGATATATTTTTTCAGTTTTTATTTTTTATTAGTACATTTGCATTACCTAATGATTACAGTGCTTCTGGGGAGCTGATGGGTGGACATAATACATCTTGATTCTTTTTTTCATCCCTTCTCCCCTCTCTACTTATTACTTCTCACCTCCCTACTTATTATCTTTTATTTGGGTCTTTATTTATATTTTAGGTTTCTAATATTTAAGTCTGTGTGTTGGGGATATTTTAAAAAGTATTGAACATTATAGATTAAAAATTCCATTCCAGTTGCAGTCAGCTCAGCTCTTCATCAGAGAGCGATGACCAGAGTTGTCAGTTTGGAATGACTTTTTTCAGTTCTGTGTTTGTATTTTATGCTGAGATGTGCTTAGAAACATAGGGCTCTTGCGTCTGTGTGCTTTGCTTCTTTGTTTTTTAAAAAATTTTTATTGCTCTTACAAGTTACCACAAAATTAATAGCTTAATACAACGGTATCATCTCACAGTTCTAGACGTAGACAGTCCAAAATAAGTTTCAGTGGTCTAAAACCAAGGAGGTGGCAGGCTGTGGCCTTTCTGTGGGCTCTGGTGGGAAGCTGTCTCAGACGTTTCTGGCTTCTAGGGGTGCCAGCATTTCTTAGCTGCTGCTCCCCTTTCTCCAGAAGTACTGGACATAGCATTCTCATGCTGCCTTCTCGCTGGTTTTCCTTTTCCTGTTTGTTTATTCTACTTTTTTTGTGGTAGTGCTAGGGATTGAACCCGAGCTTTCATACAGAGCTATAGCCAGAGGCTATATCCAGGACTATATCCAGCACCTGCCTTTAAATTTTTAGACAAAGTCTTACTAAATTGTCCAGGGTGGGCTTGAACTTTTCATTCTCCTGCCTCAGCCTCCAGAGTAGCTGGGACTATAGGCTGCGCCAGTGAGCCTGGCTATTGTTTTCTGCTTTTAAGGATCCTGATGATTGTATTAGGCCACCCAGATAACCCAGAATAATTTCCCAGTTTTCAGGTCAGCTGACTAGCAACCTTGTTTCCCAACAAGGTGAATTCCCCCTTACCATGTGAAACTAACATAGTCACAGATTGTGGAATCAGCATGTGGACATCTTTACTTTGCCTACCACCAGGAGATACTCTAGGAGTGGAATTGATGGATAATAGAGACTGTAAAATTGAAAAAAACAAAACAAACAAGACCAAACTTGACAATTTATCCTGTATAGTGGCTCTTAGCAATATACACCTCTAACAGCAATGTATTAAAAGGATCCTTTCCCTTCAGACTTAGAAAAATTAGAGGTTTTTTTTTTTTTTGAGACAAGGTCTCTCTATGTAGGGACTCACTGTGTAGCCCAGGCTAGCCCTGAACCCAAAGTGTGGTCCTCCTGCCTCAACCTACTGAGTGCTGACATTACAGGTGTGAGTCACCATGCCTGGGCAGTATTTCATTTTTTATTATTTGCATTTTCTGGAGTAGGATTGAGGTTTGGTCATTTTCTAGTAATATTTCCTCCCGGTATGGCCACTGTGATATGACTGTTTATTTCTGTTGTTTGTTTTCTTTTTTAATTTTTTTTTTTTTTTTTTTGTCTTTTTTGTTTTTATCGGTACCAGGGATCGAACTCACGACTGCCTGCTTTCAATGCAGGTGCTTATGCTGCTGAGCTAAATCCCCAGGCCCCTGTTTGTTTTCTTATGCAGCTTTTTTCTTGATTTGTAGCAGCTCTTTGGTATTTCATAATTTTGTATTGAAATTGTAGCTATCAGGATATTTGAATGAAGCCTATAATCTCATCTACTCAGGAGGCTGGGGAAGGAGGATTACAAATTCAAGACTGGCCCAGGCAATTTAGAGACTGTGGCTGTGAATAAAAGTTACAAAAGGTAGGGGATAGAGCATAGCATACTGTACTTGACTCAAATGCACAGGTACTATGGTTCCATCCCCAGTTCTGAAAAAAACTTAGCAATATGAATATGTGTATCTCTATATTTATGTGTATATCTATATCTGTATCTGTCTGTATGTAATGACCAGAGCATTCTGTTCTCTGACAGCATGTAGGAATTCATTTCAGGCCTGTTCTGAGGTCAATGATCATGATTTAGAACGGGAATGGCAAGAAATGAATGCCATATGTGTGCTTAGTCATCTAACCTGACCCTTCGAGAGTGCACGGGTACAGAAGTAAGAATACATGCATGTCGGCTACAGAACTAACAATACATGCACGTCGGCACTATATATTCGTCCTGCTTCCTACACCCAGCAGCTGTAAGCTGAGTCAGGAAAGCAGGGAACGCAGGCCTCACTGTGGTCTTGGGCTTCTTTGCTGGCGTTCCATGCATTCCATTCTGCTGGATGCTCTGTGTCAGGTCCCAGGGCCTTCGCTGTCACTGAGCTCCTCCTGGCCTTCTCTTCCTGCTGTATTTTGTTGTCTTTTCTGCCATTTCCCTTCTCTGGGTGTATGCATTTGTCACAATTCATTGAGTTGTCACTTAAGATTTATGCAGTTTATGGTGATCAAGTTACACCTCAAACCATTGGTCTCATTAAGGAAAACCTGTGGTATGTCTCCTCCCTCCACTTTACATTTGGTTGTAAACTTCTGGCAGGCAAAATTTATTTTTCTGTACACCCCAAAATCCAAAGTAATAGCTACTACGTAGAAGTGGCTCATATGTTTGAAGAGAATGTCATTTTATTATTTTTTTAAAGCTAGTATCACAGCTGGGTCCAGTGGCACTCTGGGAGGCTGAGGATCAAATGAGTCCCCCTTGCCTGGGCAATGTAGCTACTTGGTGGGCTTCTATCTCAAAATAATAAAAAAATGGACTGGGGTGCAGCTCAGTACAAAGAAAGACTCTGAGTTCAATCACCAGGACCCTTCCAACACAAAAAGTATTTTATTTTTAAAGTTTGAGTTACTGATCTTTAAACTTTCTCTTCCTCTCTCTTTCTTTCTCTCTCTCTCTCTCTCTCTCTCACACACACACACACACACACACACACACACACACACACACACAGAAGCACAGAAGCACACACAGGCACAATTTGCAAGGTAAAATGTGTCAATTCAAAGAAAGAGGAACTAACTGAATTACTATTATGCAGAACAGATTTTGCCAGAATTTGTGGTTAGCAAGAA